TATTAGGGCACATAAGACTGAGTTCAGCAATCAGCGTCATCTGTTAATATCTATGCATACTAATTAGGTATCCTTTAATTTCTTTGGTTGGTCAGTTTTTGTTCTCTAACTTTCCTAAATATAATCTGATTTAGATGTAATTTGAAGTCTCACAAATATTATCAGTTTATCATTAAACGATATCATTCTACATTCTACATTGACGTACGTTGAGACCTTGAATCTTTGTAATAGGTTATCATTCAGATCTCCAATCATCGTTTTTGTATGAAATCTACAAAGTATATGTAATCGTCACCCACGACTTGACAGGACACAGACATGGAGATACTTCGTGCCATTCTTGTGTTGCTTCTGGTCGGTCTGGGTCTGTGCTCCGCAGCCAATCCACCACAAGATGGCGATTGTCCTGGATTTGACGAGTGGTTTTCCACCAACAATCAAACCTTCGAAAATCATCCGATCGAGTTCGAGAATCCTCTACCAAAATGGCTTCGTGGAACGCTAGTAAGTATATTTTCCGTCTAGTAGTTGAGGAGAATATGGGTTTATATCGGTGAATTCTCCATTCAGTCAATTGACAGAGTCATTGGTTCGATACAGGACGTTGAATGCTGGCTTTAGATATTCCGGAAAAAGAAAAAAAGTTTTGCATGTGTAGGGATTACTATACAGTGATTTCAAAATAGAGCCGAGGTGTGCGGACGAGAAAATAGGTATCGAGATTACACCTGAAAACAACAGAGGCACTACCAGTAAATTCAGTATGGTATTGATATCACTTTGAGTCTCATTAAATATTTATAACATAGATATTAGTTAAAAATTCACATTAATTTAGTATGATATGGACATTAGTTTAAGTCTAATTAATTCTTAAACTGGATCAGAAGTTTGATTCTCATTAATTTAGTAGGGCATGGACATCAGTTTAAGATTCTTTATAAACTTCAAAACGAAATCAACACGTCTCACTTTCATGTTATGCTATAATCCATAGAATGTGTTACGTATTAGAGTAGCCTAATTCGTATACAAGCCAAACTGACATATAGAGTATAAGACCTTTCAGGATCTGCTCTGGTGACGTTTTCAAGTTGTAAAGAATTCTGGTCTAAGGGAGATAGGAAATTGATAAAGGAGAAAATTCAGTACATATTATTCTGACTTTTAGATTATTTTAAGTTCAAAATCATCACTGTGTCATAGAAAATAGTTTGTTTTGATTTAATCATGGAAAATGATACTATTTACGACTTAAGCCGGCCCGTTATCGGCAAAACCAGATCACGACATGTCCACAAGAGTTTGATAATTTTGATAAATCATTTTTTATAAAAAGATTACATATACAACTCTGTTTATGTAAGTTCCAGTATTTACTATAGCATAGAGGTTATGTTCTTGTAACTGTTTAATTTGTTAAGAGTTATTGCTCTAAGTAAATTTCAGAATTTCATTTACATTGAAAAGGGAAATAATTCAGTAACCATGAAAATAGCAAAAAATTGTTAACAAAAGTAATTTTCTTCTTGCATCTGTAATTTAAGTGTTTTTTTTATGCCACCAGGCAGAATTATTCAATTTTAATTTCTTTGATTTAACTGTGACTATTATGATTTTAAGGCACTTAAAGTTCAGAATATCACAAATGATAATTATTTATTGTTTATTTTCCAGTGTTATTTTATTTTATACGTTCAAATAATTTGTTTACTCTTGGTTGTAATATTATAGAAAAAAACGAAAATTATTAACATTGATTTTTATTGTTTGCTCAAGGGAAGTAACTCAAAAATAAAATGAAAAAAAACAACAGTTTACTGACCCATCGTTTTGATTTCATAGTAATAATCAGTCTATATATCAGTAAAATAATGTCTATTGGTATTGAGTACAGAAGAAAGTCAGCAAAAACATGGTCGATTAACATTCAAAGGTAAGGTTAAATTACGATGTTTTGTTATAATTTCATTTGTCATCTATGACAATAATTGTGAAAACATACAACAATTTAAACTAGTAGGATTTTGCTTACTTGTTTGAAGAAAACAATATCAAGTGTTCAAACAAAAAGGAACAGATGATGATGAACACGATAAAATATCACAAAGTACTAAGAATATGAAATAAGAGAAGGTTTTAGAGTGAAAAATATCTAAAATACACCAAGAGTACTACCGAAGTTCAGCAATTTGAAAACGAGCACACAGATTTATCGCTTTCTTTCCATTTTTGATATTTATATATTTTCTCCTTGGAAATGAGGTATGGCTTTCAAAACATTAGTCATCAGAATGATTGCCTGTACAACAGATCCTTCAGAAGCCTAGCAAAAGGGGAAAAAGTAACGGTAATGTCATTTATACATTTACAATGTTAAAAATGCTTGGTGACTATATTACAGATACGGAATGGAGCGGGAAAGGTGGAAATGGGTAACAGAAAGTTCGTTCACTACTTCGATGGATTTGCGAAACTTCATAGCTGGAAGTTTTCAGGCAACGGATCTGCATTCTTTTCCGCCAAATTTATCCAAAGTAAATTTTATACTGAATCCATTGCGAAGAAAGATATAGCACCCTACCTTACTTTCGATGGTGTAACCCCTCCGTTTGGAGAGATAGAACGATACGAGGCCTTCATGCATAGGATTGATAACACTGTCGTGAATGTTTTCAGTTACACAAATAACATTGTAGCCACGAACGACATTTGGGAAGTGTATGAAATTAACCCCTCTACACTAGACACCATCGGAATTGTGGGTCCACCAATTCCACAGTCTAAGTACTCCAATTTGGGTCGATTAAATGAGATGTCAACCGCACATCCAGTGGCAGAATACGGCACAACATCCGCGTTTGTTATCCTTAATACTGTCAGTCTAATTCCCGGCAAGAAGGGGCGTCTTTCAGTAGTTCGAATCACTTCTCTTGAAGGTCGCGAGCTCGTCGCTGAATGGGAAATCGACAAAACTTCATACATGCACTCGTTTTCAGTCACACCAAATTACGTCATATTGCTCGCTGCACCATATTACGTTAACATGGATAATATGCTGAAATATACTTCCGTTCAAGGCGGGATGGTTTGGAACGCTCAGGACAATGCTACGTTCTATGTCGTGGAAATCGAAACTGGAAAGGTACACACCCTCAAAACCGAAAACGTTTTCGTAGTTCATCACATTAATTCATTTGAACTTCCCGACGGCAAAATTGTTTTAGACGTTCCAGCACAACCAAATCCATACGCTTTTGCATCGTACGACGTAGCATATATACATAACAAAACAGCTAGAGTCAACCTAACGGCGCAACCAGTTTTGACGCGTTATACCTTAGACATTAAGACCCAAGATGTTCAACGTGTGTCTTTTAACAGTGGACCAAAGGCTCCCTGTGCCACCTCACTAGAAATGCCCGTATTCAACGAAAATTATCGTCATATGAATTACTGTTACGTCTACGGCCAGGTAGTTAACTATAATGGTAAAGGGTTCAGTCATGTTGCCCTTGTCAAAAAGGATGTGTGTAACAGCGCCGGAGATTTGATGTATGCCGTGCCCCACCAGTACTTTACGGAGCCCTGGTTCGTCCCCGCTCCTGGAGGTAAGGCGGAAGACGACGGCGTGTTGATGTCCTCGGCATTCGACGGAGATAAGAAAGCCAGTTACCTGCTTATGCTTGACCCTAAAACCATGACAGTCATCAACCGATCATACATGCCCACACGGGTACCCTTTAATTTCCACGGCAGGTTTTTCGACAATGTGTTATAAGAAACATTTGAAGTGCTTGCTTATGAAGGATGTTCTGAAGATTTTTGAAGAGTAAAGGTTTTGATTTCTGGTTGATTGTTGTTGGTATTGTTAGCAAGAGCTTAATATCTATCTGCTGGTTAAATAACATAATTAGTAAAGAAAGTCATTGAAACGGCATCTTAATTGAAGTTTGCCATTTAATGTGTATTACTGTAATCCTTTTTCAATGTTCTTAGTTACATAATACATGTATATTCATGTCACGGGATAACTTATGCCAAAACGTCAGTAACATTAAATTAAGATACAATTAAAATTTAAAATCTAAAAGTGTGAAAAAACAAATATGCTTTGTTATTCAAAAATGGTTTTTAAAAAACGCTTAGGGAGCTTACAGAAAATTGTAAATGAGAAAATAGTTAAACAATTAGTTAAAAATCACATGTCCAGTTTTAGATTTAAAAAAACGTTTAGCAAGTTCTATGAATGAGAACTTATGACGGAATTGTGTAACCATATTAAAATTTTTGAAAAGGTACTTTTTTAAGAATGGTCTTTGCAATTCTGTTACAAAATACTTACTTTACTTCTTACTTTCATAACCTGTGAAAAGAGAATCTTTTAAGAATTGGTATACTATTTCTAGTTACTATTCTCTGGCTCTCTTAACATTGTAAGGAAATCAACTTAGAATATCCAGCTGTCCATCTGTATCTGATATGTGATATGAGTTAACTGTTTAATGATATTTTGCCTCTTAGAAGATCAAAAGTATACCCATGTTGTCTTCAATCTTTGAAACTGTTTCAATGCATTAAAGTATTGCTTTATGTAAACAATGAATTATCAACTTATTTTGTCTTACTCCGTAAAAATACGTACGTATGTTGGATTACTCTCGCTGATATTCGCAACATCGTTAGTCTGAAAACACCTACATATGATAAAATGGGAAAATATTATATATGTATTGAAGGCCTCACTGATTACTGCGTTATTATGGATAGATATGTATGATATGACAAGATTGCAATGCCTATGCACACGTATATATTATGTATTTAACATCTCGTACGTGACGATTTTATATCTTTATAATACGGTTATCAATCAGATCTCTAAATATAGCTGATGACAGGATACAATGGATAAACCGGTATACAGGTTTGTAAGACCAGTCCAAGGTCTGTAGATTTTTGTGATATAATCAACCACAATTGAACAAGAGTCAGACATGGAGAGATTTCGTGCCATCCTTGTCTTGATCCTGGTTGGTCTGGGTCTGTGCTCCGCTGCCAATCCACCGCAAGATGACGATTGTCCAGGATTTGACGAGTGGTTTTTCACCAACAATCAAACCTTCGAAAATCACCCGATCGAGTTCGAGAATCCTCTACCAAAATGGCTTCGTGGAACGCTGGTAAGTATATAGACAACAATGAAAATTGCTGTTGTACCACTAGTAGCTAAGGAGAATATGGGTTCATTTTCTTAAAGTGTAAACAACAATGTAAATTTGTGAACACTAGCGACTTGATTGAATTCTCCATTTAGTCAATTGGCAGTCATTAGTTCGGTTCAGGACGCTGTAACCTGCGTTTAGATATTCCAGAACAAGAAAAAAGTTTTGTACGATTAATGATTAGAATACAGGAATCTCAAGATAGAGCCGAGTTGGGCGGACGAGCAAATAGGTAGAACATTTTAAACGAGCTGTACGTTTACACCTCAAAACAACTGAGACACTACCACGCAATGTGATATTGGAACGTGTAAATCACAAGGGCAGTCATCAGCAATTTTAAGGGACGTGTGTGCTCGTGGGAAGAGGAGGAATGGGGAAGTATGTGTGTGTGTTTGTGTGTGTGTGTGTGTGCTCAAATACCCAAATGGGTAGGTGGGTAGAAATACTCTTAAGAAAATTATGGATAGAATATTTAAGGTCACTGAATATTGTAAGAAATATTTTGATAGATTGCTTCTTTAGAATATTGGTGCTTTGTCATACTTAGTATAATATTTGTAATTTATATATTAACATGTGCTTCAGGGTTTAAGATAACGATTGTCATTGTCGTTTTTCGAATATATTATTGAATTTGGCGAATTTTTTCGCGGCTAACAAAAGACCAACAGGTGTTATACTATGACCATTACTACTTTTCCACAGGTACTTTCCCGATACAGTATCCTACTTTAGGGATATGCTATATAGGAGTTCAAAGTGATAAGCAACATACCTTACCCATGATATGAAGCATACGACAAATATTGGGTTTCATCAAATAGCAAATTTATTCCCCAACAAAGAAGTTGATGTATGCGGAAAATGCAAAAGACCTACGACAGCTAAGAATTATTTTCACAACTGAAAAAATAAGTAAAAGTTTGACTACGGCACCACATCACCTACGAAGAGAAGGGGAATTTAGGGGTTTTATTTAGAAATCAAACGAAATATATGATCATATATAGGAGGCAGTTGACTTCGTTAAACGATTTCGATCATTTGGTATGATTGAGCATTCTGAATCATATCAAATGATTGGACGATTTTCACTAACGTCATGTAACCTGAACATCAGTTTGGTATTCTCATTAATTCAATATGTCATGAACATCAGTTTAAGATTCTTATTAATTTAGTATAACATGGACATTAGTTTGATTGTAATTAACTTAGTATGACCTGGACATCAGTTAAAGATTCTCATTAATTCGGTATGACATTGATATCAGTTTAAGATTCTTATTAATTCAGTATGACATGAACACCAATTAAAGATTATCATTAATTCAGTATGACAATGACATCAGTTTGACTCTCATTAATTCAGTATAACATGGACATCAGTTAAAGATTCTCCTTAATTCAGTATGACAATGACATCAGTTTGACTCTCATTAATACAGTATAACATGGACATCAGTTTAAGATCCTCATTAATTCAGTATGACATTGACATCAGTTTAAGATTCTCATTAATTCATTTTGACCTGAACAACAGTTAAAAATTCTCATTAATTCAGTGAGACATGAACATCAGTTAAAGATTTTCATTAATTCTGTATGACATGGAAATCGGTTTAAGATCCTAAATCTAAACGTAATTGACCAGCCCCACTTTCACTATATACCATAATCAATGGATTGTGTTACGTATTAGAGTAGACAACTTCGTATGGAGGGCAAACTGACACATAATTTATAAAACTTTTAAAAAGCTTAGTAAAAGAGGGGATAATTATGGTATTGTCATATATACATTAACAATAAATAAAATGCCTGGTGACTATATTACAGATACGGAATGGAGCGGGAAAGGTGGAAATGGGTAACAGAAAGTTCGTTCACTACTTCGATGGATTTGCGAAACTTCATAGCTGGAAGTTTTCAGGCAACGGATCTGCATTCTTTTCCGCCAAATTTATCCAAAGTAGAGTTTATACTGAATCCATTGCGAAGAATGATATAGCACCCTTCCTCACTTTCGAAGGTGTCGACCCGCCGTTTGGAGAGATCGAGCGATACGAGTCCTTTATGCTGAACATGGATAACACTGTCGTGAATGTTTTCAATTACTCAAATAATATTGTAGCCATGAACGACATCTGGAAAGTGTATGAAATTAACCCCTCTACACTAGACACCATCGGAGTTGTGGATCCACCAAGACCACCGTCACAGTACTCTAATTTGGGCCGATTAAATGTGATGTCCACCGCTCATCCAGTGGCAGAATACGGCGCAACATCCACGTTTGACATCCTCAACACCTTTAGTCTCATTCCTGGTACAAAGGAACGGCTGACCGTGGTCAGAGTCACTTCTCTTTCAGGGCGTGAGCTCGTCGCTGAATGGGAAATCGACAAAACTTCATACATGCACTCGTTTTCAGTCACACCAAATTACGTCATATTACTCGCTGCACCATATTACGTCAACATGAATGATATGCTGAAGTATGCTTCCGTTCAAGGCGGGATGGCCTGGAACGCTCAGGACAATGCTACGTTCTATGTCGTGGAAATCAAAACTGGAAAGGTACACACCCTCAAAACCGAAAACGTCTTCGTAGTTCATCACATCAATTCATTTGAACTTCCCGACGGCAAAATTGTTTTAGACGTTCCAGCACAACCAAATCCATACGCTTTTGCATTGTACGACGTAGCATATATACATAACAAAACAGCTAGAGTCAACCTGACGGCGCAACCAGTTTTGACGCGTTATACCTTAGACATTAAGACCCAAGATGTTCAACGTGTGTCTTTTAACAGTGGACCAAAGGCTCCCTGTGCCACCTCACTAGAAATGCCCGTATTCAACGAAAATTATCGTCATATGAATTACTGTTACGTCTACGGCCAGGTAGTTAACTATAATGGTAAAGGGTTCAGTCACATTGCCCTTGTCAAAAAGGATGTGTGTAACAGCGCCGGAGATCTGATGTATGCCGCGCCCCACCAGTACTTTACAGAGCCCTGGTTCGTCCCCGCTCCTGGAGGTAAGGAGGAGGATGACGGCGTGCTGATGTCCTCAGCTTTCGACGGAGATAAGAAAGCCAGTTACCTACTTATGCTTGACCCTAAAACCATGACAGTCATGAACCGATCATACATGCCCACACGAGTACCCTTTAATTTCCACGGCAGGTTTTTCGACGCCGTGTATTAGAGACAAGAGACAATTGAGTGTATGATTCTTTTTAAATGGCTCTATCTTCGTTTTTAATATTCCTGGCACAGGTTGCGTTTCCTATAGTTATGAGAATATAAATATATATGCACATAATAAAAAGTCAAACAACCAATTAAATTATCTCCCTTTTTCTTATTATCATGAAAGAACATAAGAAACGCGGATAATTTTTTATGCAAAATACTTTTTCTCAGTAGACCTAAAGATTTAATTTGAACTCTCAACACTACAATTTAAATGATACCACAGCTTCAATGCAATTTCAATACCACACTCTCAACACTACAATTTAAATGATACCACAGATTCAATGCAATTTCAATACCACACTCTCAACACTACAATTTAAATGATACCACAGCTTCGATGCAATTTCAATACCACACTCTCAACACTACAATTTAAATGATACCACAGATTCAATGCAATTTCAATACTACACTCTCAACACTACAATTTAAATGATACCACAGATTCAATGCAATTTCAATACCCTACTCTCACGGCTTCAATCTTTATATTTTATCAATATAGATAGTATGTTAAAGCATCTACAGAGACCAAATGAATCTTATAACCCCTACTACATAGTAGAAATTGTGTACAAAAAGACAAAAGAGATCAATCATAGAACACCTTGAATACAAACAATAAAAATAACCACAGATTTGCTTTAACATATAATAAGTCTTTTATACAACTGTTAGTAATCTCTTTAACAACAGAAAAAATACGATATCAAGATTCCACATATTTTGTTATTACAACAACCATATATATGTCATGTTAAAAAGGTCACATTTACACACAACAAAATTATTAGACTACTGTTAAGACATCAAAGGTACATCTAAGTGTAAAGAACAACACAAATCTTTCTTTTCTCAAGTCGTAACATTCACCGACGACAATATGAACTTTTGGTACTATCCTTTTCAACTGGCATCAGCCACAAGTACAAATTACCTTTAGATTTCTGTATGAGACGTTGTAGGGCGGAAATATACTGGTAATTAACTACAAAGTGTTAATTAAAAAAAAAAAACACTGGCGCAGAGATAATCATACTGATTCATATTTCATGAAAAATGCCCTCCAATCAAAAAGACATATACCAAGGACGAAGTCATAAAAATAATCGCTTTCTGATTGACAAAATCTTCGTCGAGTTTGGTAGTAGGATCTTCATACAGACTATTGTCATAAAAAGTGTGAGTAATCAAAATCCAGATTCAAATTCAATAAAACTAAGCCAAAAAGTAGATTTACACGGAGACTCCTGAAAAAAGACCAAGTGTTCTGGAAATGTAAGCGTCTTCTGCTTCATTGACGGCATCCGTTGTGTAAATCGTGATCAATCAAGGTATGCAATTTAGTTTTCTCAAATGAGAAGAAGGTATACGGCAATGAAACCAACAGGCAAACTGACGAGCATCAATCACGTTCAGATATAGAACATATCACAATGAGATCACTATGATGTCCCTTAAACGTCCCCATAATTTTAATCTACCTACAATCAACATTATGTCATGAGTTTGTAAGCTGACATCTTGCTCGAATTTGGAACAGGCCCTTGAAACAGGATCAACTGCGACATGTAGATATCACAGGTTGGGAATGTTGGAGGTTATCAATAGGAAATTGAAATTATAAAGTTTATTTGCAAGCTGCCCATGCTGGCTTCATTGTAGGAAAAGATCGAGATGCCTCAGATATAGAAGAGACTGAAATTGGAGGACTTTGCCCGGTATTTGTGAGGTATTTGTGTTCTATTATTAATAAAAAGTTTTAAATAGTATAGTTTTGGAAGATCGTGCAAGTCTGTTCGGGAACGAACATAATTGACGTCGAGTAAGTGAAGAAGGCGACTGTTTCGTGCCTTTTTCGTCGTTTTAAGAAGTTGTGTACTTGTAATTAAAGAAAAAATGAAATGCAATGTAAACATTGCTGAATTGATGCTTTGAATAAATAAATATTTTGAAAATAATTATTTTATATTTATTAGTTATTTGAACTTGGGAAGGTAGAAAGTCAGTCAAGTAGATGGGAGACGAGGTGAAGCAGAGACTCAATGTTAATGATGGTCTTAATTTCCATCGCAAGAACTTAACCAAAAATAATTTATACCAACAAACGTCTTTCCATGATAGTAACGAAAATATCTTCTTTGGACATTAGTAATCAATAATGGTGTAGAAGGTCATATAAATGTCACGTGGTCTTGTATACAAATAAAAATGTGTACTGAAAGCAAAATGAATTATCTAACAAATTGAAAAACATTTACAAAAGACACGCAAGACAATACAAAAACGTCTAAAAAAATAAACAAAAACATACACAAGAAGAAGAAAAAAAACTTTCAATTGTTAAACCCAAAAAATAATAGAATCTGATAGCATGTATGTGGATTTTAAAATGTCACTGTGAGATTTTTTCAATATGTAGTCAATTCTCAAGAAGTAAAGGTATGACGACTCGTTTCTAAAAAAAAAAAAAAAAAAAAAAAATAAAAAAAAAAAAAATCTACCTAGTCAATGTAAACAATAAACAATCAGCTTTAGATCTTGGAGAATAATAACGAAGACAGGATTCGACTTTGTACGCACTGACTAATGACAATTTACTAGTCTGTTCGAATCAAATACCGGTTTTATTTCATTGATAAATGAAATATCAAAATACTCGTATTGGTTTGCTAGCAATTAATAACCACCTCTCTTATTTCTATTTTATTTATTTTGTTGATAAACCGACACGGCTCTAACTTGCAGGAGTTATCTCCCCTCCAATAGTTATTGATCTGTTGATGACGTTATAGGACCTGTTTTAGATTTGTTTCTTACGTAGGATATACTTGTTATAACAATAACCTGACAGATATCACTTAAAATTGTCAAAGTCGTACTGGTAACTAAAGATCCATGAGGTCATATTGGTGACGATTTCAAAATCTTGACTTCATCTAAACAGTTGAATAGACGATTAAATAGTTTTTCTTTGATCAATATTGAACGATCTTACCCGAGTAAAGAATTTTATTTTCCTAATCAGTTTACTACTATAACCACTTCCGAGCTAAAGGAACTTCTTTTTAAAGAACAGCAGTACATACTTATGACTGTGAACCAGTTTATGACGCATTGTCCAAATACGTCTAAAGCCAAACAGAGACACGTAAAAATCCTGAGAATGATAAAATTTCTGAATTACAAAATAGAGTTTGGTGGTGAAATCTTTCAACACATTTTCTGCATATCCATGAGACCTTATCATGATTTTATTTGTGTATCGCAATTTTGTAACTGGGTTGTACTTGGGCCTTGTAAAGGATGACTAGAACAACCGGGTCGGGTTCTTTCATTTATTGCAGTGAGTCACAGTTGAAGGTAACAATAGACAAGCCCTATGGTAGGTATCTAAAGGAAGGCGTACCAAGAACCTGCAATACACAATTAAAATACATTTCTTAATATAATGTTAACAATATCAAGCTACATCACTATCAATAGCATTATTATATACATATATTTACTTGTCAATGATAAATAACATATATTGATACTATAAACACAAAGACAAGTATCACTCCTAAATCTGATACCACCAGGGGAGGCAATCCACATGTCTAAACTATAAACAATACAGATATAGATATATAGCAATTACCAAGATATTGGATATGATCCATATCTACATTACATTTACCAAATATACAATTTACAATATGAATACTACGAAACAATAGAATTCACTATCCTGCTATTAATAGTATATAATCTCACTACACATATGAATTAAAGTACAATTACCAAAATGTAAATAACAATAAAATAACCTATTATGCTTACCTCGACTATGGGTTGACGATCACACGCCTCAAACCGATCAGTTAAGATAAGTTTAAACAAAGGACAGTTTCTGTATCACATTATTACAGTACCATAAATTAAGCTGGCTCCTACAAGGGAAATAAAGAATGAATTCCAGAGAGGTGCAAACCACACCTATCACTAACCAAAGCTCTTTTCCTTCTGCACAAAACAATTTACACAAAGAACTTTCCCTCCCAAAGCACAGTCAGTAAAATAAAAGGTCAATTAAAAGGTCATGACACGGGTCAAGTTAGCTATGGACATTACATACAAATATCATGCAGACAAGACATGGACAGTATAGGTAATACTGTACAATACATAGGCAGGTAGGTCACATTTCCATACCTATACATAGAATATAAACAACACTGATACTCAGGTAAGCTGGTACCACTTTCCATATACATCACCAGTACCTTTATATAGATATAACAAGTCCTTAGTCTGCATTACACATAATACAGGTACTGCACTGTAATTATACACTAAGAAATTCATCAATATATGCAATATAGACCCTAATTTGCATAATATCTTAACAATACACAATTTTACATACATATACACTAATCATATAAAAGAAGCCAAATAATTAAAAGAACACAATTATTACATGTTATATCAATACAATCAGCTACCTGAAAATAAAATATATTATTCAATTAGATGAAATAGTTCACCTGGCCACAATTTAATAAATGATATATCTAGCTATCGCGTGAACTGAGGACGCAGAACTGATGCGTCATCTATTTCAATGGACCAATCATCATTACCGCATTCCTGATACGAACCAATCAGCGCACTGCGCACTGTTGGGGTCAGAGCCTGCACGCGTCCTCTTGACCTGTTGGGGTCAGAGCCTGCACGCGTCCTCTTGACCACAGTGAAAAAAAATTGTTTGGCCTCTCCATTCATTGCGATATTTCTGAAGTTTTTGTTTTTATTTTGTTTCCAAAACAACCCACCCATCATCAACCACCCATAATTTTAAGTAATTTTGTGCCTGTATCTCTTATCATTCTGTTGCTATTTTTTTACTGCCCTATTTTTTGTATCCCATCTTTGTTGGTACGTATTATCTGAAGTCATTTT